GTAGTTCACTCTATCGAGAGGTTGGCTTTTTTAGTTGAAGATGACCCACACTCCAACTACCCCTCAACTGGCAATCTCACTGCTGTACCCAGCGCCACTGAGGGTGGATCTGGACAAACTAGTCGCCATTTGCTAGAGCATGTCCGACTTGTTAAAATGATGGAATGTAGACATCTACGTAGAGTTGTAAAGATTTTAAAATATTTAGTTTGTATCTTGTATGCTCTGAGCCCGAAACAGCTCCACACACGATCTGACATCATCATGTTCCTTCTGATCTCCCTTAGTTCCTTACAGTGATCATCCAGCATATTCACCAGGGTTCTGGACTGGGTGAAGTGTACTAGCAAATCTCCAAGGAGCAGTAGCCTAGCATGAACGATTCGGGAGTTCTGACAGCAAAAGCCAAACCTCCTTCTAGTCCGACCCTTCAGAGATATTGGTGGAGCACGAGAGTGACCATGCGCTGGGAACCGCCGCCCAGTAATACTAGGGTCACTGAAGAAGATCAACATCTACAGCGTAATGGCGACGCGTTCAATTTGAAAGTAAAGCAAGACAAAGTCTGCTTTTTTCCTGAGGTCGTTCGACCCCACCTTGCGGAGAATATTCATAAAAAATTGGAGACTCTCAGGCTAGCAGTTCTTTCACCTCCTCTGTGTGGCCCTATCCTCGTGCCAACAAAGGCAACTCAGTCTGACCTCTAGCGCTCTTCCCCAGGAAGAAATTTTACGCTAAGTGACATGACCTCAAACTCGACTTCCGATCTTTCTTCGATCAATAGCTCCTGGAATTCTAGAGATAAGACAGCGACTAAATTTCCTTGTATAGGCAATACATTGTAGATGACAGAGGTGTATGTTTGGATGAGCAAAGACTCCACATAAAAAAGAAAAAAATTTGAATTCAAAAATACCCAAAGTGATTCACTAATTATGGGACAACCTAATATTAATGTATGAACAACACGCTCAGAAAGTATAACTGGATAGAAGAAACAAGATAAAAGAATTTTGTAAGCCAGTGTGAGCCATGTTTGGAGCACGGGGTGCAATGGTCCTAATGAGGTAGTCGAAGGTAAAGAAGAGTGGTTAAAAAATGGCATGAAATCCCCCGTTTTCTTCCATCTCGACGCTCGCCTCACCTTTAACTCGGGGATGGACGTGGAGGAATGAAGCCTCATAAAACCGCGAAGGGCCGACTACCAAGCTGAGAAAAATTTAAAATCTGGACGCCACAATGAAAGAGGTTCTCCGTGCCATTACCTCCCTAGGCCCTCAAGGATGGTGTTTGTATGATTGATCGTATCATCACTTGACACACTTCAACTCCGCCTCTGAACTTCTACTTTTGATCGGGAGTGGGTATGCAGTAGGGAGTGACATATGTAGTAATTTCTTGAAGTTCGCACCACTTGAGCACTTTTTCGGTATGTTTTGATAACGGTGAATGAATTTTACTCACGCTCTTAAAACAATCATCTTTTGCTCTGAACACGATCTCTTGAACTTTCACCACATCAAATCCCAAACACTCACCCATCCGGAAATCACAAATGCAGCTCTGCTCAGTAATAATTTCCCAGAAGATAGTTGACACTGAATGTCGGTCACATTACCGGCACCAATAATCGAATGTGGGGGCGGGACTTGTAAAAGATAATGAGGACGTATTCGTGCGTGAGGGAGGGGGAGTCGTATTGGAGAAAATTCGCTTGGTACGTGGCTTACACTGGTGAAGCCTGTCCTCAGAAGAAAATCATCGACAAAGAAAATTCAGTGGACTCCATGCGAAAAATGAGTGTAATGATAAAGAATAACTATATTGTAACAAAGATTTTCGAGAAATCACCAGCAGAATAAGAGAAATTACGTCATAAACGTTTTTAGCATGCAACAATATGTAATAAATTGAAATCACCAGGACATTGAAACAAATCAAAGATTGTGACATTGTAGTTTATGTGGAGGAGAAAGAATAATCATACTAATATATACAGGTGCATAACCCATATAGTTTATCAATAGTATTTGTGCAGTCCGTATTATGGTTGACCTTATCGATACGAAGAAATGAAAGTGGATCCAAATCCAGATTACCGTACATATCTTCGCGAATGAATACCTGATCGGAATCTTCTAGAAATCTGAATGAAGAGAAGAAATTCTGCTCAAAAATCATTACCTCGAATTTACCCTGAGCCGGTAAGGCCACAGTGAAAACAACATAATAGAAATGATCACCAGTGCTTGAAATAGGTCCATTTTTCGACACGAATTCTTCTACTAATGAAACCTGCAAAGATGCTTCAAAACTTTACAGTGAGTGGTATCCAATAGAAGAAGCATTTACCTTGGATAGGGCAATTGGTTGGCAGCTTTGTGAAAGGCCCATAGAATCTAATGTAGATATGAGCATTGCCACTGCATAATTGCCAAGTTCCATAAGTTTTTTCTTGGCCCTGAAAATACCCACAGTAAGAAACCGCTAAAAGCTTCTGACGCTACCAAATACTGGAAAGCACGTCTGTAGACAATTCGAAGTCGCACTGAAGACGCATCCCGTAGCCAAAGCGCTCGGAGATGAAGGTTGGGATACAGCGTGGGCTCGAACAATTATGGGCTCTCTTTTCTTTGTTAGAGGGACTGTGGTAAGACTGGCGACAGTGGACGCAAAGGAAAGAACGCAGGCAGAGAAGCACATTGGTTTAGAGTATCGTGTTAGGGCGGGACGCAGAGTCGTCTACTCTGAAAGACTTTGAGAAGGCTCTAGGGCCAGAATACTTTCGAGCCGTAAAAGTACTTCTGCGGAAGCAAACTCAACCACCTTTGCATAGCCCAAACTGAAGGAACGGAGAAGGAGCGGGTATCTTGGACACCTATTTCAAACCTTAACGTAAACTGTTCGTAGTGTGGGATTGCCGAAGCGACGGGGGGAGAATGCTACAACTCCTGCAGAGTTGAGGAATGAGAGTAAGTTGTGAACCTTAGTAGTGCTGTTGCAGCAAAAGTTTGGCCTGGATTTCGCATAGTCAGAGCCAAAACCTTCGGTAAGTCTGTCGCTGTTTGATGAGATTAGGGAAACCACGCAGTCAAGAAATACGGTAGACCTCATTGAGCTATACTAAATGATAACCTGTATCACCTGTATCACCTGTCGTCCCGTTGATCGTCGATTTGCTCGAGCGGGCGCCAGCAACGTCTCCATTCGTCCCTGTCGCGTGCTAGAGTGGTCCAGTGGATCCTCCTCGCTCGAGGGACACGAAGTCGTTCATTCCTTTCGTTCAGAGCTTTCGTGAAGAAGTCTGACCATCGGGCCGGCGGTCGTTTGACGTCCGAGGGATCCAGTCGGTAACCGCTCTGGTCCAACGGTCATCGCAAAATCGCATGACGTGTCCGGCCCACCTTATCTTCGATTCCTTGGCGAAAACGGCAGCGTCCCTGATCTTCGATCGTTGGCGTAGTTCGAACTCCGGATTCCCCTCTGCACTTGCGTGTATAGGGTTACTCCTAGCATCGTCCTCTCGACAGCGCGTTGGATAACGCTGACCGCATGCTCGTCCTGCCTGCGCAGAGTCCAAGTCTCTGAGGCGTAGGTTAGGGCAGGAAGGACAGCGGAATCGAAGAGGTGGGCACGGAGCCGGATGTTCTTCGTCTTCTTCACTACTCCCTCGATGTTCTTAACGCTCCCCAAGCCGCTCGTTTCCTCCTGCTCAGCTCTGGAGCTAGATCGTTCATCATATTGATTTCCCGACCTAGGTACACGTAGCTGGAGCATTCGGTCGTGAATGGGGCATCAGGAACCAATCCGTTTCTCATAAACATCGTCTTCGTTCGCAGACCACCTTACCACAGGCGCAGTCGAAATCAGCCAGCATTCGCTCCGCTTGCTCGATGTTCGGCGTTATAAGAACGATGTCGTCAGCAAAACGAAGGTGGTGTAGTTGCCGGCCGTCGACCTTCACTCCCGTGTCCTCCCATTCCAGGGCGGTATTCAATCCTTCCCCCAGGGGGATATATCCCCCTACTCTGATTCAATCCTCTGGGGGGACAAAAAAGGGTTGCGTCATAGGACCTAGCATACCTCTGTGTTTCTACCTGCCAGACAGTTAGAGCAGCGCGACCCCTCAGGGAAAAGAGTGCTTCATCAGTGGAGGGTAGTAGCGCTGCTCTAACTGTCTGGCAGGTAGAAACACAGAGGTATGCTAGGTCCTATGACGCAACCCTTTTTTGTCCCCCCAGAGGATTGAATCAGAGGAGGGGGATATATCCCCCTGGGAGAAGGATTGAATACCGCCCCAGTTGACGCATGACGTTTTCGAGAGCGGCGCTGAAGAGTTTGGGCGAGATGGTGTCGCCCTGTCGAACCCTTGACGTCGATGATGACCTCCTTGTAGAATGGTGAGATTCTGGTCGTAAAGTTGCTGTAGAGCTCACGAAGAATCTTGATGTACTGAGTAGGGACGCCCTGGTTGCCCAAGGCTTCGATGACCGCTTCTGTCTCCACAGAGTCGAAGGCCTTCTTCAAGTCGATGAACGTGAGACAAAGTGGCACCTTGCACTCTAGATGTTATTCTAAATGATAAGTAGTTTTATATGTTTATGACGGGAATGGTTGAGTGAGTGAAGAGTTTGCTGTGCTCGTTGCTCATTGAGGAATGCCAAAGGAACATTTCCCATCAAAAAATCTGTGCACATGGTCACGATACTCATGCGACAAGCGTAATGGAGGGTGAATCTTTTCAGCACTCTATTTCCCTTCTCCTTCTCTGTAGAAAGGGCCACGAACCTACCCATAAAAACGTTTCCTTCTTCTGATGTAAAATGATTGAGGGCCCGGCTATCCTTCATGAAGTGATTCTGTGAAGGGGGGGGGGGGGGGTGGGAGGGCAATTGAACGCTAGACGATAACTCCCGCATGGCGATGGCAAATGTAGCGTCCATTTCGTTCCCTCAAGCCTCACGGAAAAAATTCGTGAAACCTACATGTGAAACCTACATGACTCTTTTCTTCTTGAACTGGCATATGCAGTATTGAAAAGGTATTGGAAGCGTCTTGCAGGTTCGCTTCACACCGCTTTCAAACTGTCTCAGCAAAGAGGAACCATACCGATTACTGTCGAAGCGTTTATACTTCAAATCCGTGAACATCGATTTTGGTTGGAACTAAGAACAATAAAATTATGGTGTGTGCAGATACATAGCTACAACACTTCCTTGTAAACGATACATAATGTAAACGGAAATCATGCTGCATTGACTCGCGGCTTGAGAATTCAATATTTTTATCGCATAGTCTCATACACTTCTTGAAAGTCTTTAGAATTATGCTATGGTTGGTATCAGGGGCAATGTGCGTAGCGCGATTCTGAGTATTTTCGAAGGAGGGCCCATCAGTGGCTGGTGAAGGTCAAAGGTTTGAAAACGTGGGAGTGCATTTTTGAAAGATGAAGGAGTCGTTTGTTCGGTCTTCTGATAATTTTGGTGAAGACTCGAAGAAAGCAAGCGTGACGTGACTGAGATTGGAGGATTTGTCAATACACAAGTTTCCTTCTTTCTCCCCACTCGACGGCGACTTTTTAGGGAGAAACGTGAGCGAAGTTGAACTGGGTTTGAGAGAGTCCCTTAACCCACTCGCGACCGGGAGGGATTTTCGAAGACTGCCCGTTCGGACCAGCGCCGGCAGAGGCGATTGCGCTATATCATCTGTAGTTCGCGCTGAAACTTATCCTATGGAAGTTATCAAGGGTCCTGAACACGATTAAGGGATCCATTTCACACTTGGCCAAACAACGCCAAATGGCGCCAATTTGGCGCCAGCGCCAAAAATGGATATCATATTTGAGATCAGGACCCTCGAAAACCCCCATGGGAAAAGTTTCAGCGGAAAAAAATTTCAACTTTTTCGGTGAAATTTTGAAGTCAGGATTATTTTTTCTTCAATAAAATTCTAGTGGATAGAGATTTCCTCTGCCCAGGGGTGGCCTAGATAGATGAGGGTATGAAGATTCTTCACAGCAAAGAAAATCTCCCAAAGACCTCCTTTTGTTTTCAAAAATTCCATTTAAAGCCCGTCAGCCACCGGTGGCTGACATGGTCCGAAGTGGACATCTTCGCGTCAGCCACCGGTGGCTGACATTGTCGCGAATGGGTTAAAGTT